CTATTTGGATTATTTATTGCACTGTGACATTCTGTGATATGGATCTTAATAAAGCGATACTGATGCTCGAGAATCAAAATCCAGATCACTGTCAGTATTCTACGTCAATTCATTAATATTAATAACACACGATCAATAATATTGTCGGTATTTAATACTGACAGTATTATCAGCCATGTAGGATCACCTTTATATGTTTCCATTCAGTACAGATTTCCAAGGGACATCCTAAAGACATCTAAAGGGCGTCTCTATGTCCTCTAATCGTCCTAAAGAACGTTTCCAGAATGTCTTTAATAAAATGCTATATAGGTTATAAAAACGTATTTCGCTAGACTATGTATAAAGATGACGGAGTGTGGGTGTATATGTACACACGCGTGTATGTCGCTTTCCGAGGAAAGAGATATTCACTCGAGGACGATGATGGAACGGGGTGATCGATAGGGAATTTACACCGAGAAATAATATCCTTCCGCTATGAGGCTGTAGACTTGTTCACGTCGCAAGCTCCAACATGCTCCAATATGCTCCTACCATAACTCCTACTCACTCTATCAAGCGCGTTAGAGTGAGTAAGAGTTATGGTAGAAGCATTTTGGAACATATTAGAGCATGCGACGCGAACAAACCTCGTGTCTATCCTGTCGCATATGCGTATTCGCACGTTGCAAACTGAGAATATCTTCACCTTCACGTATATTTAAAATGTCATCTTTCTAACGCGTGTGAAAGATACTCCGGTAATATCTCATCCGCAAAAACGTTATTCAAGTCACGACTGACGTTAATTTCGCTATTACGGGACATACCTGTGGCGCGGACCGTACGTTGGCAAAATTACAATGGAATTTACGGCTCCGAACTTTCCAACGGTTACGAAAATGTCGAGATCTAAGACCGGAAGCAAGAGTGACACAGGAAACATCCTAAGTACGCGAAAATCTAATGTTGAAAATTTAGAGCGTATTCAGAAATTACGCGCTAGCTAGGAAATTACTTTTCAAACTATTCTATATAGAGAAGAGTTGCTAAATGCGTACCTCACCAATAGTTTTTTATATTATTTAATGTAAACAATATTTAATGATAAATAGGGCAACCAAAATTATGCTGTAAAAATCTCTTTTTAAGTGCCTAAAATATGCTCTGTGAAATAGAAAAAATGCTCTAAAGAAAGAAATATATCCCAAAATTATGCTGTAAAAATCCCTTTTTAAGGGCTTAAAATATGCTCTGTGAAATCGAAAAAATGCTCTAAAGAAAGGAATATATGCATTTGAAAATTACTTTTTATCGCACAAATTTTCAAAATATTAATTAAGTTTTTTACTTATAATAACGTAATCATAAACTTAAATTAGAAAACGATATGAAATATACAATAAAAATAGATGAAATATGTAAATATTATGCATGTGTGAGCGAAATATGCAAAAATATGCTCTTATGTGTGAAATATGCAAAAGTATGCTGTAACATATAGGACTCAAAATGTATAATTCCTTATGAAACAAATTTGTATTTAATTTATTTCTTTATTAGTCAAATAAAAAAAAGATGCCCTATACATATTTTGTTTGCCCTATAAGATATTACTATTCGAGTTCTACTTATAATTGCATTTTAAGACTAAAAAAGATTTTGGAGCGCGGTTTGTAAAATCAAATATGTATATATTATAAATTCACACAGAAATATTTAAGCACTAAAATCCACTTTGATTGAATATAGGAGATTTCTCTTATTTAATTAAAATTATTAAATTGCTTTAATTTAATATGTGATATTACTACTCTAATTCTATTCATAATTACGTTTCAAGATCCAAAAGGATTTCAGTTTACAGAATCAGATATGTATATGAAAATTCACATATTAAAGATCCACTTCAACCAATAGTTTTTTACTTAATTAGATTTATTCTTATCAGTATGTCCAATTTAGGATTATAATTGAAAATGTTGAAACCATTGAAATTTCGCGTAAACTGCACAATTCAGAAAAGAGACGTTATCAAGGAAGCAAGTACGAAATGGTACTTGGTACTATTTGTTTGGACATCGCAACAATAACTACAGAAACAACTATCGCGAGGTTAGAACTATGTAGGACGTGAATTGCAGACACTTCCACTTGTCACTCTGTGTAAATACATCTACCAATGTTGATTTATATTTTTAAAAATTTCGTTTATATTTCAACCATATATGTTTTGAAATTCGAACTTTGACATTTCTAGACACGCAGGCTATATTTGAGTCGTTCGGTATATTCGCGAACAGTTCGGCAAAAGTTTGGCACATTTTCGCCTCGAGGTTGAGAACTGCACGAGAAATTGTACGGGTATGCGCAGAAAATCACGCGAATTGCATCGGAAATGTTGATTCATACATCGGAAAGTTCCATGATGTATCGATCAGTGTCAGATCGGTTCGCCTAATTAAGCGATATGTTCATCGTTTTAATAAAACAGGCACGTAAACGCGAGCGATGATGCGCCGCGGCGATACGAGTAATCATCATCGTCGATGATGTCGAGTCCTGTTTCCCATTTCCGACATTACCCGCGGGCAGCTGTTAATAATGTAAATTGTCGTGACCGGCTTTCTGTCGACATAAATCGCGCGTATTGACGCGAATCGGATCGCTTCATCAAAAGTCGGATGAGAGTTAATCGCTACATTTAATACTGACATACGCGAGCGTCATTAAATAAATGACAAAATTATGAATAATGAGGATAAATTTACATACAGAAAATTTATCTCGCGAGGGTAATAAAAAGGGCGATAAAATAAAAATCATGTCTCTCTCTTTAATTAATTTTAATACTAATGAGACGAAATATTTTTGTAAAAACAAGGTATAGATGAGTACAATAAACAAAATCAGATAAAATAGTATTTTTAATAATAATGAAACAAAAATTTATATGGAAACTCTGTTATAACCAAATTGATATTTAAAATAGGAAAACAGAAATGCGCGTGGAAGCAAATAAGAATATATAATCAGAGTAAAAAATATTTAGAGTTTCTTGTAAAATCTAAATATTATTCTAATTATATTATTATATATTCTTATTTGCTTCTACATACTTTTCCATTTTACATTTCTATTTCACAGTATGTATTTTATTGATTTCATATATATATATGTACGTTTATAAATTATGGAGAGAAATTTATGAGATGTGACATCAAATAACTAAAGGAGAAGCACGCAATAAAATATAAACAGACATCTTGTGCGGGGAGTGTACTGTAATTATGCAGTCGCGGCTGTAGAAACAACTCAGCGGTAGTCATCATTGCGCGAAATGATTAATTCCACTTGTACGTTAAAGCACTTCAAAGATCTCGAAGTCTTGACACAGATTCTACAGAAGTCGGCGATGACATCGCGGTTTTAGAAATAGAAAGAGAGAAATAGAGAGAGAGAGAGAGGGGGGGAGGGAGAGGAGTACTTTTAATTAACTTATGCTGCTGCGTTTTGTTAGTTTATACCGAGTGCTCCTGTTATTTCGCATTTTTGGAATATTTCCCTACGGCATAAGAAAAGAGGAAATAATCCATCTCTCGGAGTTGTAAAACTTTTCGTATCTTTTCGTGTGCCGAACTCGCGGCCGCCGAGAAACTTAAAACATGTTTTACTTGCGACCTCGTGTAAATAACAACTAGCTGAAAGCAAGGACAGCGGTTTCTTGTGCGGGAAGCATAATTGCAGAGTTTCACGGAAGGACGACTTAAAACAAAAAAATTATGATAAAGCAGAAATAAAAAAAATTTTTGCTTTTAGTGATATTTAATTTTTTCCAGAATATACTTATAAATATGAGCAATTTATGTTTGTAATATGATAAATTATATAATACAGTAGATTTATTTTTTGTAATATGTTTTTGTAAGAGAGAAAAGGTTATGAAATATACACGATTTTGTTTCAGGTTAAAAATGAAATTTGGTGAAAATCTGGTTGAAAATAAAATTATTTGAAATTAGTGCATATTTTTGAATTAAATAGTACATATGTTTGAATGGATAATAATGGTTAATCTTTAGAGGGAATTTATTAAAATCTTACAGAGAGAGAGAGAGAGAGAGAGAGAGAGAGAGAGAGAGAGAGAGAGAGAGAACTTTTCCTTATAGGTAAAGTTTCTTATGATTCATTATTTCATTCCTTGCATCAAAATATAATACTGTTTCAGCGTCACTATATATGTGTCACTATAGTGGCTGTCCCGTTTTAATAAAGGTTAAATCAGGATAATTACAACAGTATATATAATACCTAAACAAAGAGAAATTTTACAAAGAGAGAATGTATGTTAGAGAGATTAACAAGTTCTTCGAAGCGTAAACTCTGTACACACTCTTTTACTTTTATATAAATTACCACATACAGAATTAAATTTTATTAAAAGATTATTTTATCTCAATTAACACGTGTGGGATTTAAATGGTTCCTAAATATTTAATGAGATATTTAGGAAACATACTTCCTAAGTATATATCTAATGTTTTATAATCATATAAAAAGCATATATAAAAGACCAACATGTGCTATTTAGAGTTATTATATATATGTAACATATAAATTAAAATATATACAAGTTGCTACACGCTAATGTAAATTCAAACAGATAAATTAAATCAATATCAATCAAACTGCTTGATTAATGAAACTAAAGTATCCGACATATTCCAATCATTGATCAAATATAATGTTGACGCAGTTTTAAAACATTACGAGCGCGACGCATTTCTGTCGTTTTTATTCGGCGATCGCGTGTTCCTAGATAATCAGTAAATAGGTAAATACTTGAGCCGTGTGAGCACAATCGATCAGGCGAAGTTTATTTAGCGTTTATCGAAGCCGGACTGATCGTCTTAGTGAGCGCTGCGTAAATATTTACCATTTATATAGTCGTGCTTGTCCTCCGCGTCGTTGGATCGATCGATCGATCTCTCATATGGGAATATTCCCTTCATTTGCAGCTTAAGAACCGAGCAGCCTAGCGGCCTGGACACTGGCGGGGTTCGGCTGGAGCTGAGTAAGGCCCTCGATCTCTGGGCCAGGAATTCGAAGCTCACCTTCCAGGAGATCAACAGTGACCATGCCGATATCCTGGTCTACTTCCACCGGTAAGTTTAATTTAAATTAACTTTAATTGAAACTTTACTTAATTCAACCTACTTATCCTAGCGTGCATATGTACATATTTTGAGTGATTGACTCCGCGATTGAAATTGTTTCAACGCTAAAAACATGCACGTTAAACAAGAATGATATTTTATAATGAATACTTTATTATTAAGTGGAATTTTAGGATTAATTAACTCATTATTATAATAATATAAATGAACAGTAATTATTAAAGTATTATTAGAATGCCAGGCATTTTAATAATCTCTTTTTGTAAAAAGATAATAAATCTGAACACGGAGATAATCCATGAAACGCATAGCTCCTATTCAAAAAGTAAATAAAATATAAGTAAACTGCCTATATGAGCCTTTGTAATTGTTAGTGCGTAAATAATATATTTATAAGGCGTTAAAATATAATTCACAAACAATTGGAATATACTTATGAAGTTAACTGCAAACGTTTCGACTCTGCATTTGACAATGAGTCCTCTTCAGTATAGAAGTCAAGTACAAACTAGAACTCGTAGTTTATACTTGACTTCCGCAACTGAAAAGGACTCAAATCCAGAATCGAAACGTTTACAGCTAACTTTGTGGATAAGTGTATTCCAATTGTTTGCGAATAAATGTTTCATAAATATAATATATTATTTACTTATATTTGGTTTATTTTTGAAGTCACAAAATCTAATTTTATTTTAAACTATTATATATTATAATAATTTAAATCAACCGGTTTTGGTATTTGACAGTGATAGAAACTAGATTTAAGCGTTCGAGTTTTAGCCAGAATTTTTTTTTAGAGATTCCAGCAGTGGCATATCGACATTGAAAACTACTTGTTACACATTGGATGTGTAACAAAATAATAATGCAACATGATGCCATATAATTGTGTAAAATCGCAAACTCGCGATAGATATTAATTCTTGCACTGTTCGGATCTATTCGACTCGAAATTATTTTTATTTCCCTGCTACATTTTTATGTTATGAGTAAGGGTTTTCACATTTCACTTTGTTTTATTTGACTTTGTTTCATAGAGCAGAAATATTAATCTGACTATAAAGTTTTAACAATTTTTTCATTTTCATTTAAAATTTTTAAATGTATAAAATAACAAATCAGCTTATATTGACTGTACAGTATATTCGAACAAAGCAGCAGGATTAAATTCGATGATAATTTTATTGGCAGAACGTCAGATAATATTCGCGTTGCGCATTGTTCAGGGGTTATCATGGAGACGGATATCCGTTTGATGGCAGAGGTCAGATCCTGGCTCACGCATTCTTCCCGGGCAAGGATCGCGGTGGAGACGCTCACTTCGACGAGGAGGAGATATGGTTGCTGGAGGATGAGAGCAACGAGGAAGGTAAGTAAATCAGAATTTCTCCGGTGGGGTCGTGCCTCAAATTATTCAAATCCCTCGCACGAGCAATTGAAATATACGAATTCAGGTGAAATGGCAAATATTCAAACGATGAAGCCAAAGAGAACAGACAAAAACTGATTACTTCTAATAGATACTGTTTACTCCAATCTTTCGTGGCGAATGAGCTGTTTATTCGAACTCTTTTCGAAGAGTTTGCTCGAATTGTCTAAAGGATCGAGATACTTCAAATGTTACGTGAGTTGGTTAAATATCGGTTTAATTAATCATATATTTTTACAAATATTTGAACTCTCTCTCTCTCTCTCTCTCTCTCTCTCTCTCTCTCTCTTTCTCTCTGTCTCTTGAAATTCCTAACATTTTGCATATTGAACTTCTCTCCTATTATCTCGAGGCATGGACTTTCGCGATAATAATTATCCAAGCCATCCGTGTTTTGGTGACGCGCCAACTCGGTCATCTGATACAAGGTGCGGTCACGCCTTGTGGGAAAGAGGGATAACTCCAGAAAGAGGAGAAACTCTTTTCAATTCTATCGAGACAGAGCGTTATATCGTCGGATCGATATAACATGCCGGACGGCGTTTTACGTAAAGGTATTCACGAGCAGCGTATATGAGCGTCTGAAGAATTGTTTGTAAGCTTTCTAGCGATTCTATCTATGTATTTTTTACCTCTTTTAATGCAATAAGAAATGTTTTGTCTTGGTTTTCTCAAACAATGCCACGCATACAATACGTTTGCCAATATTAATTATTACAGCGCGGCTTTATATTCAGTAGATTTTATTCCGGCATGTACATTATTTCTTCCCTTTTAACATACTCTCTAAATCTGAATCAGTGAATAATCACTGATATCAGTGCCAAGTATGTCACTAGTAATCAGTGAATTAAATGTGAGATTCCTAACCTAGCTAATCTTTATTATATGATCTAACTAACCTTGTTTTTATGGTTAAATTCAATGAATATGGTATTGGAAGATTGAAATTAACGTGCAAATATCAGTATTTTAGTCATATAATGCTCAAATATTCTTTCTTTTTTAGTTGAACTTCACTGATTATCAGTGCCAAGTATGCCACTGGGTAATTAGTGACTATCCCCACTGATTCAGATTTAGAGAGTAATGAAATTAAAATTTCGAATTTTTCAATTACATTTATATTACCAAATATATGTTTGAAAATTAAATGGATAATTGCTTAATTATTTTCACGGGACTTTTTATATAATTAAAGTTTCTCTTTATACAAAATAAATTAAAATGCTTTTAATTAACATAGGTAGCCGAATAATTTAATATAAATGATAAATGACATATAAAATAATAGTTTAAAATTATTAAAGTCAGGTTTTATTTTAATTATTTAAAGCATTAAAAAAAGATCTAGCTTCGATCAGTATAAACTTCTAGTTTATCGATTGTGTTCTCACATATACAGTCTAAAAATGAGATTCTTATTGTTTTTATTTTAATATCTTTAAAAAATTGGTGTGTATAATATGTATGTATATTATACCTATACAATTGATATCCTTATAATTACTCATTATGATGGTTACAAGATTCTTCGTGTGCTGATTCTTAATACATCATGCTTTTCTTTTCTTCAGCAGATCGAACGCTTCGATTCATTATTTTCTTTAGCCGCGTTTCGATGTATCAATTGAAGCAATTATCGACAATAGGTCTGTTCTTTTTGGCTGACTTCTTGCCGCACTGTTTATCTTTTCTCTTTTTCTTTTTACGTTGGACGATACGAGAAGTTCAACTAAAAAAACAAGCCTAATTCCTAATGAAAATTAACAAGAAAGTGCAAACCCAGACAGAGACAGACAACCTGTTGGAATGATTAACGATGTTTCCTTAACAGGTCGACAACCGCGTGTGCGTTTAATTAGCGCACAATTGAGACGACGTGACGATGCTATAGGCGAAAGCCGGGAGAAGATAGACAGAGTTGAGAGAGAGAGAGAGAGAGAGAGAGAGAGAGAGAGCCGATTTCTCGACGCAAGTTGCGAGGATCCATCCACTGTATCCCTCGTGCTTCTATCAAGATTGCTTAATTGCGTAATTCGCGGCGTGAATCACTCCATGATTACGACCTCGTAATTGCAACAGTTAGCCAAGCGACGTGCCATAGCGCAATAGTTAAAGCTGCCGATTGTCTCCTCGTTTACGCGTTATAATATTGCGCATTTGATTCCACATCTCCCATAGTATATCCTGCTGATATTTGTAATTACTTACACACAATATGATGTTTTTATCTTTCAATAGCTAATGTATTGTATTTAATAAAATGCGCCATATTTATTAATGTATATTATGTATATAGTAGGTACACAGCTGTAAAATATTGTTGATGTTTTTTATTAGAAGTTATATCTTTTTTTTATAAATTATATTTCATCGCGACGCGATTTTTATATATTTTTTGTATATTATAGGTATATGTCATAGAGATATATTACAAAAATTATATAAAAAGGATTCTTATCTTTTATAGATATCCTTTCATCAAACATTGATTTTGATATGGCAATTTTCTTTTGTAGGGATCAGATTAATACGTATTAATTAATTAACACAGGGCTTTAAAGAGCTCGATTTATTGTTCCGTGTTAAAATGGGAACTTTTGTTCCCGGAAACCATTTAATTATTTCTCATTTCCGCTGAGTAAGTTTTATTCCGTTGATTTATTACCAAGAGGAGTAGTTAGTACAGAATAATTAGAGACGATTTGTATACGGTGGTTGACAATTTATCGCAGCGAGAAAGATGGCGTGAAATATTTCGGTCGATAAGCTCATCCCCGTGCAAATCGAGCGTTACAACAAAAGTCCGTCATCTCGTTTCTGTCGTTATGGACATTTCTATCGTCGTCGTTACAACGTTTCTGCATAATATGTTTCCGCACTTTCTTTGCGCACCATACTCTCTACCCGGGGATTTCAAGCAACGGAGAATGAACATCGTGGAATACAATTCGAAGTAGCAGCTTTTTCCCCCGACAAGAACTAATTTGCTCGAGCAAATCCGCTTTAGTAAAAATAAAACTGCTGCAACGCGAAAAGTTGGTTGCAACGAAGAATAAGAAGTCTTAAAAGCCTTCCCGACTTTCGTAATTTACAAAAGAGTGATTCATAATAATGTAGCTCTCAAGTTCATAATTTTCCTAATTTTGCATTTCAACTTATTGCTTAAACAATATGGAATTTTTCTTAAAATGATCAATGATAATATATATTTGTAATCAGAGCTTTACTTTTTCATAATTAATTTCAAGCGAATGAAATTTTACGGAATCGCAGACGAAATTTTAACTACGAAGTGATTGACGGTAGAAAAAGCAGGAAACACTCCGGAAACGGAATGCATAGATTGAATAGAGATATGATTGCGAGCGCGTATTTCCTCGACATTATATAGAAAAATCGAAAAGCGTTTTTAATTGAAAAGTTCAAAGCTTTATCTAAACGCAAATTTTTTTCCTCGTTAACGGAGATTCTCTTGGTCGGACACTTGAAACTCTCGCGTTAACTTGCGCGTTAAGCGCTTAACGCGGTTAAAGTTCATTTTACGTGCTCTCGTGGCTACGAGTCGGGGAATTTTCTCTCAGCGAAACTTTAATCGAAACTCTTAATAACAACATCGTTGGCCTTATCGCCGACGGTGATAACGGCACGTCCGCCCCTTCTGTAATCCTCTCTGCGTCTTGCAAGCGCGACTCTTAGCGCTTCGCAAAGCCGCGACTAATTTTCTCGTCCCGTAAGGGGAGGTTGATTTAATAACCGTCACGTCCCAGCTATTAATTAACCGTATTAATTAATCGGACTATTGTTTCACTATCAAAAATTGAGCGAACTTTGGCGCGATTACATGGTAGATTATTATTTGGATCCGATTTTGCAACGCTCGAATTTCGATTGGCGTCGTTAATAATGCGCCGACTTAGTTTCTGGCGCAGTCGGCCGCATAGTGCACATTAGCATAATTATAACCGTACGTTACTGTGACACCGCCACAGGAGTTCTCTCTCCCTCTCTTTTTGCCGTTATCAACTACTGTATGCGCGCTCAAACAGTTAATTTCGGCGGGGTGAATTAGCAACGAGATATTATGACGTTGTTTTGATATAATTACTTTCGAACGTTGAGAATGGATAAAAATATTTAACATAAGAAAAAGGTACCATATTTTTTTTAAATTTTTATATAATATAAATAGTACCTAAATGTTATTTTTATACAAGCGAACAGCCAAAAATAATATTTCATGTATATGTATATATATATATTTAAATTCTATAATCAATTAAGTAATCATTTCTGATGTTTGTAACAGAACTCGATTTCGTTTACGAAGATGCTTTAAAAGTGTCGAATATTAAAGAATTATTACTATAGTTATGAAAAATGAAAAAAAATCAAATTTTAATCGAAGAGATAAGTAATGTAAGTAATTTGAAAGCATGAAAAAAAGGCTCCAAAGGAAATGATAGTTATATGGTAGTTCTGGAACGTATACAAGATCTTGCTAAACGGCAAGTTTGATCTCGATAAGAGTGTTACTAGGAGTTGGTTTTTTCGTTGGCTGAGCCAAGAGAAACCTTTTGCAGTATCAATGTACCGCGGTTAAAAAATTACAGCACCGTCGGCTAAACGGAGCAGATATTTCGGAGCAAAGGAATTATAATATCTCGAAGCATGCGCGTGTTTTGCTGAAAGAAATTAAGCTCCCCGCAATTTCATTTTTGCTTGCATTCCCTTCGCTTCTCTCTCTCTCTCTCTCTCTCTCTCTCGCTTGTGCGCTCGTTTTCTTTTTGTCTCCAGAAAGTTTAGAATTCGTGAGATTCACGAAAGTCACGAAAAATTTTATAAAATCCACGCACGTTTGTCGAGCACTATAATTATTAGAAAATCGAAATATATAGAAAAATTAATACTCGCGAGAAGAAACGTTATGACGAGAAAATAAAATCAAATCGAGATTGAAACGATTAGTGTAACACGTTCGATTCGATTACTATTGATAATCTCCGTAGAGCACACTTTCTCCAGCGGAACGTTTTATTACTGCAACGTGATTCGCAAACCACCGCGTCTCAGTTTCTCGCAGCTTGCGAAGATAGTGCGACTGAATTCACTTGTGCAAACGTGACATTACGCGTCAGTGACGCGACATTAGTAATTCATAACTGACAACTGCGGTGGTGAATGTCACTCGCAAATCGGTTACATTTGTTCTCCGTCCAGGACATATATCCGCATCCTCTCTCTCCCTCTCTTTCTCCTTTCTTCGAACGAGGTTAATTTACAGCGACGACCGCTTCGCCGTTAATTACGTTTGCCTAACGAGAATTATTAACTGTTGGCGTTGTAGGACGATACCACTTGCGACGATCATTTAGATTAATGGTTTACGAGTATTCGCTGGCCGATCAGAGTCGAGGATAACCAGACAAACAAAAAAATAAGTAAAACATCCATCTTAGATACTGAAGCGATAATCTTTTTTATATAAACATTTTATTTAGTTAAGGAGATTTATTTCGTGAGAAGGATAAAAATATCTCTCTTTTTATATATAAAAAGTAGGTAAGGATGCTTGCTGTTTTTTTTTGTTTATGTCTTTTGTAATGCTTTTATTCGCAATCCCTTATCAATTAACTTTTACAATACTACATTGTATAAAATGCATCAAATAATTTCTCGTTTAGAATTTTACGCGACACAGAAATCGCGTTGTCCCGTCTTTTAGTCATGTCTTTCTGCTCATTTAACTCGTAAGAGATGAATACGGCGTGAAGGAGAAAAGACTTGAAGAGAAGACCATATCTCTCTCCGGAACATAACGTAAGTTTTCTCGTTGCGCGTTGTAGTGTAATATATACTCGTCATGCTAGTAATATTTTTGGTACTCAGAGAAAGCTCTAGACGGAATCCCAGGGTAATGTGCGTAAGTCGGATCGACGATAAACGATAAACGCGCACTACTTTTTCGAGCAATTGTAGTCTGGTTTTATGTTTTATCGCTCCGTGTTTCAAAAGCTTGCACGATAAAAACAGAAAATCGCGAATAGGTATCCTCAGTAATTCGCAAGCACCTTTATTCATGTCATATACGTTTTATACTTATCGCTTTATGTCGCCTATGAGGTTTTATGTCCATACTACGTTTAAACGAATAACGATATTTCAGAAGTAGCTTTGAACTGGATCTGCAACTATTGCGTTTATAAATCTTTTATAGAAAAATTATAAAGGGAAATATTATAAATTTTGATTACTCTTGGATTTATTTGGTTAGCACAAAGTATAGATTTGCACTCTTGGGTAAATACGGTATTCTAATAAATCTTAAATTTTTGTTGAATATTTTAAATATATACATGTATATAATTTTTTATGGCATACATACATATATGTATATCTATATGTTTTTTATATAAATATATTTTATAATCTTTTAAAGAAATTCTCTTTTGCAGATGAGTTTACAAGCAGTCACATAATTTTTATAATGGCCGAATTTTAAAAAAATTGATGGCTGGGGATTTTTCGCGAAGTTTCAGTAACAAGATATTGTGGATTTTTCTCAGCAATGCAAGCAACGATTCGCTATACTATCAATTTTTCCGGTGACAGCAACTCCCCTCGAATCGGTGATCGCTTTACGATCCTAACCCATATCTGGAAAAGTAGTTCTTCGATGCGGGTTGGAATCGAATCAGAGCGAAACGAAACGAAACGAAATGAAGGCGGAGATTCCGCGGCGGTAGTGGCGGTACGGCGGCGGCGGTGGCAATTCCCGATGCAATTGCCCGGAAAACTCGGCACGTGAACACGAAAAAGTTACGATACGCTTTTCTCTACCATGACTTGGTGTCTTTGGAGATAGTACAGAAAATAAGGATAAAGATATCAAAGATAAAACTACTTTGAGCATTTTTATCAAAAGACATTGTGTAGAAATTGATTTTGAAATAATGTAGAAAAATGCATCTCAGTTGCATTAAATTTCAGACGAATGTTGCTATTTAAATAACTTTATAAAGAATTGTATTCTTAAATATATTAGTTTGTCCTTCGAAAACATTACATTGATATACAATATTATATATGATGTTACAATTGTTTCGTAACGGTTTTTGCCTTCGCGAAATATTTGCCAAGTTGCAATGTACTGTGCTGTGATACTTACAAATCTGTATACAATTCTTGTCTTTCATATCAGTAACTAGATTGCAGTTGTCGCGAAGCGCATCGCACAGATAAAATGCGAACGCGTCGGTCTTGAATGTTTTTATATTTCTTTCAGGCACTAGTCTATTCGCAGTGGCCGCTCATGAATTCGGCCATTCCCTGGGATTGGCACACAGCTCGGTCCAAGGTGCTCTCATGTATCCATGGTACCAGGGACTGAGCCCCAACTACGAGTTACCGGAGGACGATCGCCACGGGATTCAACAGATGTACGGTAAGTTATTCTCTTTCGCTACACTAATACTCGCACGATCATTAAACATTCAGTATTTAAATTAAAGTTGTTTTCCTGTGAATTGTTGGAGCTTTACGTGAAACTGTACAAAAAAATATTAGTATTAAATATAAATGAAATTTTTATTCAAGTAGATATTAAATTTGAGAGAATCGCGCGAATGATGAATCCGAGAACAAGAGAAAGTGTCATTGGGATATGATTAAAATAATTTTAGTTTCAAAAAAGTATTGTCATAAATTTGGAATCCAAACGAGAGAGAAAATATATTACACTATATTGTGTAATATTTATACCATCGTTAATTATGAGTTTTAATGAATTATAATGCTGAGGTTGAAAAACATCGTTGGTGTGTGAGCTCTGAGAAAAATTCAAATATTGATGCTGCATTAATTTTACTAGCTATAAAATAATATTTAATCTTTGCCAATCAAAGCAAACGGAAACAGGAGCAGGATTTATCCTGCAAATTGCGCTGCGCGATTAGCATTCCGCGACTTCGTGGCTCCGTTCTTCGAATTTTCTTCGTATTCACACGGTGTGAATCAAATGAATGGGATGTGCGAGCAGTTTATCTCGATAGTAAAACTTTCGGTGAACGGCGATGTAGTAGAGGCGAGATTTATAGCGCGCATTATCGGCGTGGGATCGCAACATTGCTCGTGTGCAGTGTTTCAATTTCGAGCACGCTGTCGGAGCAACCGCAGGCATTAAGGCGATACTGCTGTTACAGTCGGCTCGGCTTGTAACGTGCGACATAACACTTGGCGTGTCGGCCGGCAATCGAGTTTATTAGAAAAGTTGTTTGCTCTTTATAGCGCGGCGAGCCTGACGACGAGACGGGCACGTAGGATAATTTTGGCGAAAGTAATGGGCGTTATAAATTCCCCGGTCAATAACAATAAGTTTCGCCAACTGCTATTTCGTCAAAAGAAAACGTTTTATATTTTTACCTTAAATCTCAATTGAATAAATTTTAGAGTAGACCTATATATATTTATTTTGTAAACTGTATACATGCTTTGAAAAATTAAATGAAGTTAAATAAAGTTAAACTGAATATCGCTCTCTTATTTTAAAAGTGACATAAAAAAATTGAGTTTTTCAAAAGAAGGGAAAAACAATATTTTTTAATTTGAAAAAAAAAATTATTAACTAATTATTATCAAATAATATCGGCGAGAAGAATATATTCTTAATGTAATTAAATGTTATTTTCCTTTCACAACCTCTAAAAAAATCTTTTTGAGTTATAACGATTTTTTGTGCAGTTAGGTTAGTTTACTTTTGATAATTGATAAGGTAATGTTTATCTAATTCATGATAATATATCGAATATCACGTTTTGCACGAGTTGTATCACTTTTGAAATAATGGAGCGATATGTATTATTTCAAATATTTGTAGTAATATAAAACAAATCAGTTTCAAAGCAAGTGCACATGTAGTTTACAGGAATTTTACTTAGACTAAAATTATCGCAGAGTAGATTTAATATTGGGTTATCGTGTTACATCTCCTATAATTGTCAGAATCACCCGTGTAATTTCGCTGCGCATGTAACAGATCACAACTTGAGCATGTCGAAATTGCTTTAATCGCTCAGTCATGAGAAACAGCTTAGTTATATTCACCCGACCAAACTGCGAAAATCTGTAGTCTCTTATACAGGGTGTTGAAAAGATATCAGAGAAATATTCTGAATCTAAATATGTGTTTGAATATTGTAAATAGAAATGCCCCTTTGAAAATTATTCTTTCTTATTAATATTTATCAACGAGAAATTTACTCTAAATTTGTAAAAAATATGATACATTTCAAAGTCGATAAAAGTGATGAGTAGATAAGGCTGAGACACCCTGGCTCTTTAATCGAGATTACGGGCGCCTGTGCAACATCGGAAATTTGAATTTCTGGCAAGGATCTATATCTCGCAGTAGTCTCGCAGTAGATAGGGCACTTTATAGTCCAACGACGGGGGTAAAGTTAGCCTTTCAGTAGCAAACTCGTTTGATAGTCAGCCGTTGCATAGCGAACACAGTGCTAGTCGAATATTTCGACGTGAACAACCCTATGGCGTTTAATGCGCAAATGAAACGTGAAAACATTGAAAAATATAGGGATGCTTAAAAGTGCGTAAACGAAAAGTAAATGTGCAGAAAGGACTATTATTCGGATATTCTCTTTACATTACAGAATAAATAATAATAATCGAAGAAGTCTCTTTGTTCGCGTCTTTTTGTTTCTTAGATTTTATTTCAAATGTCATCAATCTTATTATTTTATATATTTTTAGATATTTATTAATATTAGTAAATATTAAGGATGAGCAACGGAATTGTGAATACCTATAAAGAGAAAAATTAAATAACAGACAATTATTTATTTATCAATTGTAGAAGACTTTATTTAAAGGAAATGTTCCAGTTATTTGCTTTTAAACTACAATAATTATTATTCGTATATTATCAATATAAATTATAATTTTAAACGAAAAAACAAAACCTTTACCGTTTAGAATTATCCGGCGCATGAAGGGGCAATACCAAATAGGTTTGTTTTTTATTTAAAATTATAATTTATATTGATAAAATATGTGAATGTTAATTATTTCAGCTTAAAGCCAAATATAATATTTGAATAATATTTAAATAAATATTTATATGATTTATAAATAACAATTTTATAATTAATAAATAATATTGTTTTAATAAATAATATTGTATTAATAAAATAATTGTCAGTTTTTTTCTTAGATATTCGCAGTTGCCTCATTCTCTCTTGCATCAAAAACATTGAAAATATATAACGGTATTTATTTTAAACAACGTGTGCATTCTATAATCTTAATGTATAGTGTAACAAAACTAAACGTGTATCAAATTACCGCTGTGTGCAGGAAATCAGAAATTATCACTATTTTAATATGTTACAATAATATTGTTTACATTTATCCTATGGTCGCAATCCTTCCACTCTGTCCTATTAAATAAATTAATATCGAATAAATAAAAATTTTTTGTCTGTAATATGTTTTTTTATTTGTTTGTTAATATGAAAGCAGAAACATAAACATTTCTCTCTGTGACATATGTTCTAACTTTTCGCGGTGCTGCGAGCTTAAAACTGCCACTAAGACCGGCAATAAAAATGATACATCATACTGGTGGAATAAAACTGTTGGAAGGACGATACGAACGAGTTTCCGACTTGTTGCAACGTTTGAAATAGAAGGAAGCTTTTGATTCGTTGTCTTTACGTGGCTGACTTTATGACGCAATGTTGTAAAAGAAGAATGCAGATATTTTTATATGTGCGGTGAAACATATATGATATTTCCTTGGCCGAACTAGCGCGCATTGTTCCACGTTTTCCGTCTTTTTGATGTCCTCTTTGAAATAAATCTTGCAAGAAGCTTTTATACGATATTTTAAATCTTATCTTTTTCCTTTGAGTTCATATATTACTCGCAACTTCGAATTCTTCAGATTCTTTCTGAATGTAAGAATGTAATTTAAAGCACCAATCTCGTTTACCTATTTTTATAATTATCATATAAATCCACGTTAACAAATTATAAGCGGAAATAAATTATATCAACTAACTATTCCATCTTAACTATAAATCATCTAAAAACTTTTTCTAATTTACTTAATTATTCACAATATTTAAAAAAAAATTCTACATTTAATTATATTTATATATAATCTCATTTTTTATAATCATATTATATGTATAATCCTCGATAATACATATTCATGTTTAATTATGCATTAGGTGTAAAAATTAATTTAAGCCCGTCGCATGCAATAATTTACGTAAATAAATTCCTTTCAAAAGTACTCTGTACTGCTATTACTATTTCAACACTGAAAAAAATGTTTGATTGAAAATGGACAAACCAGAAAATTCTATTTATATTAATCAAAATTCCGATTATATCTCAACTATAGAATTTTAATAGATTTAACCAGAAAATTTTCTAGTAGATTTAACCAAAAAATTTTCTGATTAAATCTACTAAAATTCTAATTGAGATAACCAGAATTCTGATTGATATAATCAAAATTTTCTGGTTTGTTCATTTTTAACCAAATTTGTTTTCACTGAAAGAATTAAGTTATCAATATTTCGATCGATCACTATTCTTTCGAAAACAACAGGAACGCAAAGATCGTCGTGGTGGTACATTATCGCACGTACGTATCTGCGGCTGCACGCTATGAGACTGCGTCTCTCATGCTGATGCACTGTTGCTCTCGTTATAGCTTCTCGTTTGCTCTTTTCGGCTATGTGAAGTCCGGGGATGAGATGAAACGTGAATAAAATATAAAGAATGACCTGGGCTCGCCCACACTACTCATTCCCCCGTCATCCCGCCAGGGTATACGGACATACTCCCCACTGGGGGATGGTGATTTAGTATACTGCGGCAGAGCTTTGCTGGGGGTGGTTCTCCGGGGGATCGCGAATGCATTTCGATCCTCTCGCGTTCTCGCTCTCCGCCTCCTCTATCTGCCTGTTATTCTCATTTTCCATCTGTCTATCAGCGTTATCCTTTCTGTCTTGATTTTCCTGCACACACACTTATTTCGTGCTGCGCTGCATCCGGGAAAATTTCTTACAAAAGACGAGATAACGTGGTGGAAAGACAATTTTTACTTAACGTTTGAGAAACATTTACTTATAACGTTTTCGGCCCGATCGGGTTTGCACTAATCTGGATTGGATTAATCTTTCCTATTGGTTGATGTTACACGCTCTACCAATAGGAGAGCACAAAACGCCATTAATCCAATCCAGGTTGATGCAAACCCGACCGGATTGAAAACGCTACTAGTATCACAAACACAAAAGTTCCATATTAATTGATCCTTCAAACTAATAGCTATCTACAGTAAATGATCCTGAGTAAAATTAGTAAATTTATTTACGTACAAAGTTATAATTTATGTACAAAGTTTATTATTAATTA